CCATCATGCATTCCAGGTACGCTCCTCAACTCTGCCACCTATGCCCAGGCCCTCTCACACGTTGCTACCCTGAAAGGTAAATATGATTCTCACTACCTGTCTGAAGATCCTGTAAATGCTGGGACAAATTCCTTATGAATCCAACCTTTATTCATTGTTCTTACCCAGGGAATGGTTTGTGCTCCTGCTGTGTCTCTGACCCCATGGGCTTGTCCTTCCTGCCTCCCTATGGCTGTCAGGGAAACCGCACAGCCAGCGTTGCTGCCCTGCGAATGAAAGCCCGCGAGCATTCAGAGGCTGTTCTGCAGTCTGCCAACCTGCTTGGCGCCGCAGCCACTCCTGGAGCAGGCATGGGAGTCCTATCCAACGTGAGCACGGCTGGGGTGGTTAGGCCTTCTCTGGGACCCAACATAGAAGTACCCAGCAGTGGTCTGAGAGGAGGAGACAACTCCAGCCCTGGCACCGCTGCAAAAGTCCCGATCCTGGGCAGCAGTCCTGACAAACATCCTCACTGCTCCAAGGAACCTCTGGATAAGAAGTGAGGAGCTGGACACAAATGTGGATGTTTGCTGATAATCTGTGATTAAGCCTCCTGATCTCTTCTAATGCTCGAAAAATGAGCAACAAAGCACAACTACTGGCTGACTTCAGAAAAATCCTCTGACAGATGTTTTGTATGGATGGCAACAGAAACACATTTATCTGACTGTAAAGTATTCTTGTGAGAAATGCCGAATATCTGGGTTGGTGTGACGCTGGAAAAGAAAAACTGTGTTTTTAATAATTGTCCATCTACCTGCACTCTTGGACTATAATATCTATAACATAGATGCATTATGTGTGAAGCAAAAGGCCTATTTGATAATGTGAATTTTAATAATGGTGTGGGGACTGTTGCTTATGTTCTGAATGTCAGTGCATGAAGAGTGAGTGTTGAAGTTATGATAGTACTGGGGATTTTTTTTTTAAGTCAGCAGTGAGACAAAACAATGGTCTCTATTTTTTTTTTATCTTAAAGTGAAAGTGCACTTTAGTAATATATCTGCTGTACTACATGTAAAAAAAAAATGCCATTGTCACTGTGCGTGTTCAGTTATCCCTCGCTCTCTGTTAGCACATCTGTAGTGGCAGCAGACAGGAAACACACCAGTCCTGTTGTGACATGTTCTTTAAAACAATTAAAGATGTAGTCACTCATGTTCCTCTCCTGTTGCCTCTCGCTCCAGCCATCTGTTCTGATACATAATTTATGAGCCACTCTTAAAGCCAGAAGGGGACTCTTATCATTTATTTACTTTTAGGAACGCTTCCTGTTCCTACTGCTTAACGTTTTTTTAATTTTTTATAAATCAAAAAAAAAAAAAAAAACTATTAATTATGTTGAATTATGTTTAGAGTTTATGTCCACATATTTGTCGACTTCTCTTTATCCCCTTTTGAATAACGCTTTTGAATAACGGGTCAGCTGATCGGACTGATTACACTTAACTGCAGGACAACGGGCAGTAGTTCGCCTGATTCAATTTGAGTCCTTGAGGATTTCCAGGAAATTACTTTTGATAGTCGATAACACAATTAAGTAAACTACACACACATTATCGTGAATAATTGATGGGAAATTATGTATTACCATGAAGTACTGGTTCAATAATTGATGAGGAGACACCCCCCACCCATGACATAGGAGAAGGAGATAATGTCGTGTCTGATTGTACACAGCTCACTTTCATCTCTATGTTCATTAATATTACTATTATTATTATGACAACACCATTGTGTGTGCATGTTGTAAATATTTTAAAGATATAACAATAAAGTGATGCACTCATGTTCTTGACTTTTAGATTTTACAATATTTGTATTTAAATGAAGCACCCAATAACCCTGTAAAATGTTCAACAAAACTAAACAAAAAAAAAAAAAGGTGCTTATCACTGCATTGTTGGTTTCTTTAGCAGGTACTTTACTGAATCTACAGAAAACATCTTGTTCTAATATAATGGTTTTATTTTAAGTCAATGGGAGAGCATCCATGTTAAGCCGGGTGACATGGCAGCTAATGATAACACATTAAATCAGCTTCACTCCAACAATGTGGCAGATTGGATAGCAGACCTCATACAAAAGGCGCCCAAAAACGCATTCAATCTCCCCAAAATTGACAACAGTAGCTGTGGAATTTAATCATTTGCCAAAACAAAGGAAACTGAAGTCATAATGACTCCGATCATCATTAAGTTCTGCATGGTGCCCATAATTCACTGCTTTAATATTTTATAAACAAGTCAAGTTGGTTGTTGACATTCAGCTTGTGCATGTGGCATCATTGATAATTTTCTGTCACCTAAAAAAAGTCCTGGTGATATTTCGTCGAGCATTGTTATATCAAATTAGCTGGAGAGCATCCAGAAAACAGACAAACACTGTGAATGTGGGGGGGGACAGCAGATGAACTCTGTTCCTGCATTGCAGCTAATGGGCTTCTTTTGTTGCAGTAATGAAATATTATTTTTTTTTGTCCTGCATAGAAGCACTAAAATGTGTTAGCCCAGCCATCTGCATCTACAAACACTACCCTGCGCACTCAAGAAATCCTTGTAAAGTTAGACATAACTCCTAACGTGCAGTCAGGCCTGTTCCTCTGAAGGCCCAAAATGGCCTGCTAACACATCATCTCTGCTTTTAATTCCCACAACAGAGCTGATCAATAACACAATCAATTAGAATCAGTCGAGTTCATGTCTGAATGGAGATATCCAAACAAAGCCATTCTTAATGCAGCAAGTAATGTGCCTGTCTGCTATTTACCACTCAACCACAGCTCTCTCTGTTTTTTATGACTCAGCAAAGGGGTGAGCATCATCAGAGTTCGTGATCAATTCTCATTGGGCTCAGTGACTTTCTTACTGAAATCTTTAAAAAGATAAATATGCAGAATTATGAGGTACAATAACCTGAGATGATAGCTTCAAAAAAGTATTTTTGGCACAGTGAAATCATTTTGGATGTGTGTTCCTAGTTCATCCACTAGAGGGACTTAGTGAGCAGGAATTGGGTGAATACTTCATACTTCATGAGCTAATCTCAGACTTCTACAGGGAGCCTGAATATTTAAAAGGAAGACATTTTTCATGTAAATTAAGAATGTTTTTTAATCTTTTCTTTTTTTTTTTAGCTATCAGTTGTTATCATTTATTAGGTGTCATTAAGAAAAAAAAGGAGAAAAATAAGTAAAATTAAAAATCAGTGATTAACTTTAAATTCTAAAGTAGTATTCTTAGTATTACATGAAAAAATAATATTTCTATAAATGTGTTTTAAAAGGAGTAGAGGGATTATTCTGCTGCCTCTTCCTTTCCTATAGCACTAGGAGCTTGAATGTGTGCTGGTGCATGCTTATATGAACAGGTCTGTCTCCCTTAAGGCCCATGTGTGTGTGTCCATCACCCGAGCTGTTCCGGAGCCACCATCAACAATCCCAGGGAGCAACCCGCTGCAGTGATCTCCTTATAAAGCAGCAGGGGTTGGAGAGGAGGTAGGTGGGAGTGAAAAAGGGAGGAACAGGTCCTCCCCTTCCTGTGCCTTATGGTACTTTTTTTTTATTGGATTGAGGAGGGTTGTAGACAGGGAGGTCAGCCATTAAATGTTTGATTGCTGCTTAGTGTGCAATCCAAATTCATGAAGTTTTTCTTTTTAGTAAACTAATGAAAAGCAAAGAAATTATAAAAACATACAGAATCCACAAAATGATTCACAAGCTTCAAAGTTTATTACATATAGTCATAACAACCAAAAGCTTTAATGCACACTCTGAGGAGTTTACCTGACAAAAAAAAATGAATGAATCATCATAAAGTAGGTTAAATATAGGAGTGTTTGGTGTGTGTTTGTGTTAAACTTCCTTACCCTGGTTAACTTTAATAAAACCCAGTGCAAGCAATTGTTAAATTGAGTTTACTTGAGTTTAATTTAATCTCAGTATAAACCTAGCTGTTCTGTAAGGTCCTCAGAAGTTTTTCAGGGAATGTAAGTTAAAAAATTGCATCATTAAGACTGAGAACCACTAAAGACAAGTCAGGCAGAAAAAAAAATGGAGAATGTTAAAGAAGGATGAGATTTTTTAAAACAATATCTTCAGCTTTATTTTTCAGAGAAATTTGAAAGCTAACATCCAAAATGGGGAAAATGGAATGGCATGTTTTGGAAAGCTACTAAAACTTGACTGTCATTCTAAACTTAACATTTAAATACCAGCCACTCCTGGAAGAAACATGTTAGAAGAGATAAAGATATATGAAACTCACAGAGGATTACCTTCTGGTATGACATAAAAAAAACCAAACACACATCCAGAGCTACACTTCTTTCTGTCATACGCTCCAATTTTCCAGACAAAGTCCAGACTTAAATGCAATGTGGAATCTGTGGCAAAACATGAAAATTGAAGTAAACCAAAGCTTTCAATCATATCTGACTGAAATTACAATGTTGTCAAAGATATAATGGGCATACATTTCAGTCCCTAGATGTGACCCCAAAGCTGGTAAGATGCACATCCTCAAGACAAACTGGAAATTTGGATGGAGAAAATGCTCATTGTTCCAAACGGTCATATGTTCCACACTCATTAGAATTTTACTTGTAAAAATATAAAAAAAATATTTTAAAACCAACCATTGCTCTCAGCTAAACTCTACTTTTAGTTCAACTCTAAAATAACATGATGTGTAGTTTTTGTGTACGATGTGACACATTGGGAAAAAGTTAAAGAGGTCTCAGTTTGTCTTGGCTTCAACCAGCTTTGCTGCAGTGTTGTGGGTGGTGACTAAAGGCCACTTGTTTACAGTCCTTCTTACTGTCAGCTCTGTTCAGTCAGGATGACTACACAGTGAGGCTTCCAGCTATTTATGTCTCCATATTGCAGCCCTCTGGGGGCAGCCCTCACACATCCTTCACCCATTTTAAGAAAATGTAGTTTTTCTGCAGTCTTGCTGAGCATTAACCCACTCTACTTTCTGACTTACGTTCCCAGTTTACTCACAGTTAGCCGTCACTGCTAATGGCCAACATAGCTGTCCAGATTTATAAATAGTTTAGAGGCTGTTTGTTTCATCTGTCTGACACCTGACACTGGAGGATCTTTCAGACCCACATGCTAAGCTCTAGCCCTCATTCTTCGGCTCCATGGTGGACACTCTCTGTGGGACAGCTCCTCTATTTCTGTTCGGTCTCCTGTCCTGAGTTCCAATGCCTGCTGCTGGTCAGATCCTCCGAGATTTCACAGTGGACCCGAAACTGAATTTGGATTATCCTTAGGAAGAGCCTGGATCTTTCAAAGAGTGAATGTGTAAGGTGACAGTCCACAACTTGATCTCTTTTGGGAACGGGGAGTTAATACACAATCCCAAAAATTATGGATAATGAACCAGGAAGGTAAGACTATGAGCTTACTGTGTGTTACATACTAAAACCTAATTATAAGTTAATAAATAAGTACATTGATAAAAGTTGAGCTAAGATCAAATCAAATGGAGAGAATTTATGTAAATGCAAATTCACACACAAAAAAGCCCCCAAAAAATTTTAATCCTAAACTCTTCTGGTTGAAGTTTTCTCTCATCTTCCTGCAATTTGAAAACATTTGGTCAATTCTGTTCTAAAAGGGACAGCTATGACGCTGTTTCAGCCCTTCATGGGGCCAAAGCTGAAATTTACTCGTCTTTGGTGTCGGGTTTTAGAGCTGCAAACCCGTCACTGGACCAAAATAAACCTGTCACAAGCAAGAATGAAAAAAAAAAAAATCCTCTTGACAGTTAGAGAGAGAGAGATTTCTGCTGCATAAAAACACATTTAGAGTAAAGAAATTTCTCATGGCTGGGTATGTTTTTATTCAGATATTATGAAAGATGTGGATTACATTTCCAACAATCTGAATGAGCTGGTTAAAAGGAATTTTTATAGTTAAGCTCTTTTCTTAATTCAAAGTTAGCAGAAAAATCTCCACCAAAGGACAAATAGTTTAAATTGCAATTTATTTAGTGCTGACTAAGCATGTGTGAAAATGTGCATGAAATGAATTTTCTCCAAATCAGAGAATAATAATGATTCATTCAGGATATTCTGAGCAGGTTGACGTCTTCTTGGAATTTGCTCTCCTTTAAGCACGTGACGATACTGAGGTACCTTTAAATCATTGACACTTTTTCTGAAATTCTTAACAAGTTTTCACATACTGTTATAACTTAAACTAAAATTATATTAAAGTTTATAAATAGAGATAAGTGTGAACTGTAAGGCCAGTGAATTAAAGTATATAGACCCACAGTCAGCGTTCAGTTTTTAAATTGTTTACACATACTCACTAATAGTATAACAAATTTTGTTCTCAAAGAATATTTTAATCATAAAAATGCTTTAAAGCAAATATTAAATCTCCTTGATTTTGAAACAAACATTTTGATGACTATATTAAGCGTCATATGAATACATTAAATTGTATTAGCTTTATCTGCTGTTAATTATCTAATCTTACGTCTGAAGACTAAAATTAGAAGTATTTCTGGTACAGCATATTCTACTTTCCACCTGCTGCACTCTCTATAATAAACTGAATGGCTTTTCCAAGACTAGTCTCAAGTAGGTCATACGAGTATTTTTACAATTTCTTTCAGACACTTGTTGCCTAAAACAGCTAAGCTAAGTTAAGCACTTCAAACAGCTCATGTCTTAAATTATTGCTAAATAAGCATCATTATCTGGCTTTAGATGCAAAATGAACTTGTGTGTTTGTGTGTGTTTGTGCTCTGTTAAACCTGCACTGATGCATCTTGATCACCCAAAATAACTCACGTGAGTCTGCCTTTTCTGAGCCTAGCAACAGAGAGGTTTTCTTACCAACATGTCCGTGAAGGTCATGGTGATTGAGGGAAAGGATTTGCAGAGCTGTTTTCAGAACCACATACAGTACATTGCTGCTTAGTTCAAAGAGGGGAAAAAAAATCACTTATCATAAATGAAACATCATATTGACAGAGCTGAAGGGATCTTAGAAAAACCCTTATGCACGCAGCTCCTTAAAAAGGTATTGACAAGATAATTTTGACACATTAGAGCAAGACATAGCAGTGCATTATTGTAAATGGATTGTTGTTGTTTTTACAACTATTTCAAAACAGATAAAAAAAAAGATATAAGTTCAGCATGCCGTTTTTCTTTTTGAGTTAAAACTTAAACCATCTTTGGCAGCAACAACAGCTTTAGGCATATGTCTCTACCTTATGCAAACAGCTCAAACTCAGTAGGAAAGATAGATGTGGGAACATCACTTTTCTTTCTTATACTACCACCAACTCTGATTTTTGATTAAAATTTGAAATCTAAGCCTTTCCAGAACATTTATGCTTTTTGAACTAAACCACTCAGTCGTAGCTCTGACTGTATGTCTGGGATGTGGAGCTCTGTCATATTATCAAGGCTTTTGAAATGCTTACTGGATTGTCCTGAATTTATCTTAGTTAATTTCTGACAAGCTTCCCTGTCCCTGCTTGCCAATGCCTACTGTAATGTTGCCACTATTATGTTAACCTGTGGAGATAGCTATGTTCAAGCTGATGCTCTATATTAACTTTCTTGGCATATTTGAATTATGTTATTGTTTTATAACCAAACTCAGCAGCAAAGCTTCAAAATCTTATCAGTCTCAAATCACGGAGTCTTAAAACTGCTGTATTTATACAAAATTAACTTGCACACAGTGGGTCTCTATTAGAAGACTTCTGAAAACAATTGGTTGCAGTACAACCAATTGGGGGAACTAAAAGTTGAGGTAACTAATAGAAATGCAGAACACACAACAAAATGCACAACTCAGAAAACATCATGTAAAAATGTGAATAAAGTGTGTTATTATTCTTTCACATCACAGCTATGTGCTTCATTCTGTTGGTGTGTCAGATAAAATACAAATAAAATGCATAAATGTTTGTTGATGTTATGGGAGAAAATGAGGAGAAGTTAAAAGGGGGGAATACATTTGAAAGGTGCTGCCTTTCAAGTTTTATATCACACACCATTGTCAAGAATGAAGGTTTTTTTCTTTAAAATGTTTATTGGTTATGTTATCAGTTATAGGCTAATTTGTTTTTATTTTCTTCTTCCAGGACAGCAGCAGATTTAAGGATTAAGTGTGTGGAGCCAAACTGAAAAAGGCAATGCCTTTGGAGCAAAACCTGAACAGAGGCCCCAATCTCCGGGTGCAGCAGCTCCACCAGAAGAAACACCGTGAATCCTTTCGATCTATATTTTCTATTGAATGACTCAACAACTGTTTTGGTCTGTAAGTCTGAATCATGACCTCAGTGGAAAAACGCCGCTCAAGCAGAAAGAGCGGTGGGCATAGGAAGCAGAGCGATGGAGGCTTCAGTGACACGTCGAGTGGAGGTTCCTTCCTAGACGAAACTGATCGGGAGGTCAGCAGTCTGACAGACAGAGCATTCAGAAGCCTTTGCATCGGGGATGAGGCTATTTATAACGACTCTGACCTGAGTTTGTCTTCGCCGAGCACCAACTCAGACAGACAGTTGGCTTTTGGTGGAGAACAAGAGGAGAAAGAAAGAGAGGACCGAAAGAGAGTGGCCCAGAAGAATTTCAACCTCCGGATGCAGCAATATGGACACGAATGGATCACTGGAGGGATCTATGGAGCAGAGATCCACAAAGATCCGCAGTGGGAGGCTCATGGGGATAGGACACTGGGGATGGTTTCTGCCACATTCCAGCACGCCTTAGTGGAAACCTCACAGTTGGACAAGTCTCTGAGGGCAGAGAAGCTGTCCTTCCACAGCAATGGAGCCACAGAGCTACATTCACAGCAAAGCAGAAGCCACTCTAGAGTTTCTTCTCTCATTAGAGCATTTGACACTGACAGGCACAGAGATGGACCGGGAACAGATGATATGATTAGAGAGCAGAATGATGAGCCAAGTTGGGACAAATCTGCTCTGATGAGTATTCAGAGAGAACTTTCTGAATTCTCATGTCAGCAAAATTTTAAAAGTCATCATTTTCATCCTGCCGGGTCATTTTCATGTCGGGATGCCAACTTCTGTCCCTCTGAAGCAGAAAAAATGGCCCAAATATCTCACAGCTACATGAAGTCATCACAGATTAAACACAGTATGTCTTCACAAGTGAACTGCAGCTCCAACTTCTTTATCCATAGTGAGTTTAGTCCCTTTAAGCTATGGAGAGATTATAACAGGTTTCCTTTCCAGGGAGCAGAAGCCTCAGGCTTTATGCATTACTCAGGGTTTCCTAAATGGTATCAGACACCAATGTACAATGAACTTTCTCTTGAAAAACAAGCCGGTAGTCACTGTAGAGAAATCAGACACCCGAGGAGCCACCTTGAATATCCACGCTCCATCTCAACATCCTCTCAGCTTCAGAGACCTTCAGCTGTGGAGAAACGCTGTGAATCTGAGCTGGCAGTTCATCATCATCACAGGAAGTGGGCACAAAGCCTGGGGACTAACAAACTTCCAACCCATCGCCCGTCAACTGCGTCGCCCTCAACTGACATGTCTCGACGTGTCAGAGACACCATCAGCTCTGTCAAAGCTCTGCAGCAGAAGGTTAAAATGATTTCAGAGCATGAAATGAGCAACCAACATGGAGTGTTCAACAGCACTGAAAGCTGGATTTACTCAGGCAACAATGCATTGCCAGTGGGGACTAATGTTGTCAGCGATAACACAGTAAGTTCCTTTAGAACTGGTCAACTGCTGACTCCTTCTGTCCAAAAACATCAGGACACAGAGATATCTCATTTACAACAGTATGAAGTGTCCCCTCAACCAGTCGAGCATGCTCCAGTGCGAGCTGAAAGCAGAGGAGCAACTCCAGAGGTCAGGATGTCCAGCTACAGATCCCGAGCCTCAAGCCTTCTCTTTAACCTAAAAGACAACAGAAAAAGAGTGAAAAGCACTTATAGTCCAAACAAATTTAAAGGCTTTGATACACTGGAGAAAAACCAACAGCCTTCTATACAGGAGCCACATGAAATTGCATTCACTGATTCCAATATTCAGTGTCTCCAGCAGGAAATACCTAGAAGGACAAATGCTTCTGTAAACAAGTATCACATCCCTGGACTATCACTTACATCCCAGACTTCTCATACTGCCAGTGTTAACACAGGCCAAGATCCAGAAAACACTGAAATCAATTACCAGGCATCACAGATGCAGGGTCAGATGGGTTACAGCTCTGGACTCACTAACTCCATGCCTTCAAGTTACTGCAACAATCAGTTGTTAGGAATTGGGCAGAATCCCAATCAATCTCTTGCAGCATTTACTCCTTATAGCCAAGAAACATATGGATCTGGAGAAGGCAAGCAGCCTTACTCAGCTATGGACACAGTAAGACTGAGTGTTGGCAACAACCAGCGCAGTTTAAATAACACTACAGGAAGGATGTCCACAAAGGGGGAGAATCTCAAAGAAAGCAAACTAGATCACAAAAATATGTCCCTGCAGGATAACTGGAGACAAACAAGCAACCAAAATACAGAAAGCAACCAAATCAAAACCAGTGTTTCGCCAATGAGAAAGAAAACATGGTCTTTCATAGACGGCTCAAAGCAGGAAACTCTGGAAGGTAGAGAAACAAAACAGTTAACAGATGCAAATTCGATACAGAATCACAAAAGAATTACCAATCAATATGACACAGGCATAAAAAATCTTGATTTTACATCAGACAAAGGAATAAACATGCTAACAGCAGACCATATTAAACAAAATATACCAGTTCTAAATGAGAAAATACAAACTAAATCGGATTTTGAGAAGGAAAATTCAGCACTTTTAATCCCAGGAAATGCATTTACCAACACAAAGGCAAATCAGGTAAAGGACATACCGAATGTGGACATCACATGTGAACAGGTTGAGGAACTCCACATGAAGCCACAATGTTTTCCAGCAGAGCTAGCCAAGCCCCAACAACAGGCTCATGAAGGGACACCCAAGAAAGAACAACCTGGGTTTATTTTAACAGGGCAAACTGGTTTAGAGACTATCAAATTACCAAAATCAGAACCAATACAGCTGACAAATATTAAACAAGTCAAAGAGGAACATACAAATACATTTGAGAAGAAAGATCAATATGGAAATAAGTTACAAAACAAATGGATTAGGCCCAATGAAGACAAGCAGATAGAGGATGAAAAAGAAATGGTTCGGAAGCCAAAAGACAAGTCAACAAATAGCACGAAGAAAATCCCTAAGATGCTCAAAACAGAACAAGCTGAAACAGAGAAGCTAAAACAGGAAAACATAAAAACTGAACTGGCAAAGACTGAGACGCCTGAGAGGGTCGGAGCCAACCAAGTTAAATATGATCAGCCCATTAGCGTGCAAGCAGAGGAAAAACAGCGAGACACAGAAAAAGCTGAAGGAGAGCAGATGAAAGAGAAGAAAATCAAGAATGAAAAAGTGGAAGCAGAACAGATCAGATGTGAAGAAAAGGAGCAGAAAAACCAGTCACAAACTGAAACACTAGACATGAAGCAAATGGATGCTGAAGTGCTAGAGGTAAAAAAAAAACAAATAAAAGGAGAGGATGTCAGAGAAGCTGGGGATGAGAAAGATTTAAGTCATACATGTCAAATTAATTCAGAGCTGGCTACATCCTCTACATGTAACAGTGAACACACAAAGGTACAGATAAAAGGAAAATTGGAGCAAAAGGAATCCAAGCTATCGAAAACAGAAGACCTGCTCGAGAGGTCAGCTAAACTCCAAGCTCCACAACAAGACAGGCAGGAACCAGACAGAGTGGAGCAAGTTAAGTCAGAGTTAGCTAAAGCCAAAGCAGAGTTAGCCAAAATAAAAGAGAAAATGAGAGGAGAGCAAAAAGAAAAGGTTAGAAATATTCTTTTTACTGATGAAGAGGGTACCTTGAAAAACCTTGATCATATACATACAAATACTGTTAGTAATGCAGACAGCAAAAACCAGAACCATCCTATAGAAATGCAAATCCATGCAATTCCAAATGATTATGAACGGCTTAGGGAGAAATATGGTTTTACTCAAGCAGTGTCAGCAAACAGCACCAAAGTGTCAGTCACAGAAAATGTTCTCTCAAATGATGTCAACAAGACCGAAGCTGAGTCAGGAAATAATTCAAAATCAGTTAATGGGCCTTCTTTAAAGAACTTTATTTTGACATCACAAACAGAAAATAAGGAATGCGTCAGAAGTTTTGGGGGCAATGAGGATACAGGAAGTCAGTTTCAACACAATGATGCATTAAAAAAGACACAGTTATTAAGCTCTCACTCTCACCAAAAAAAATTGAAGGATACATCTAACAATGTAGCAGAGAAATTGAAGGAAAACACTGCCCCGAAATTGGAAAAAATAAATGTTTTTAAAGACGTAGCTCCACTGCAAAAAGTATCTGCTTCGGTTAAACATGAAAGAAATTCAATTGATCAACGTACAAACTCAAGACTAGATATGGCTGTAACTCCACCTAGAGCTTTATCTCAGAAGGAGAAAGCTCAAACTAAGCAAGAGATACTGACTTCCAAAATAAAAGCTCATGCTGAAAAAGAGATCTCTGCGATAAAAGAAAAGACCTTGTCTTTACCAGAAGGTTTTATTGGTAAAAGTTCCACCAAGCACTTAGCAAACGGTCAAAGTGCTAATGTTCAGCAGAGGCCTTTTTCGCAGGAGGTGTTTAAGAAGCAAAAAAACGTGGCTTCTAATAAAATCACACCAAAGCATCAAGTGGAGCCCTCAGAGGTACAAAAAGAACCAACCGCATTTGCTTCATCTTTGAGCGATGATACAGCAGGTCATGGTGATTCTGCCGACTGTTTAGAAGAACCAACTAATCAACTAACAGGGACAAATGTGAGTAAAGCCTTGAATGGGCATATGGAAAAAGAAGGAAATCTCATAGAGACATCTGAAAAACTGCTGATAGAAGTCAAAGAGGAAACTCCTTCCAAAACAAAAGAAGACCTAGCACAAAGTACAAGTCTGTCCAAACCAGTGACTGTAGTGGATACCAAAACTAAAGAAGCAGCTTGCAGTGAGTCAGGACTGGTTGCGAGTCTGAATAAAAAAGAACCTTCGCTATCAAATGACACTGTACAGATTATGGGCATCATGGTTACTGTAGTAGAAAGAGAACCGATGCAGAGCACTGGCTCCCTAAAAGACGATGTGGAAAAACAAACTGCTGCAGCAAAAGTAGATTGCAATAAACCAGAGAGAGGCAAAGAGAATCCCAGCCACAAGGAAGCAGAAGAAGATAAGCATACCCTTGTTGAGCATAATCGTATAAAACATATGCAAGAAGCTTTAACGTTAGAGGTGATTGACAAAGAAGTAACAGCTGAAACGACAGATCTCAGACTTGATGCAGAACATCTAAGAAAAAGACAACCTGAGGCAATGGCTGTATCATCCAAAGATAGACTGTTGGACCAAACTCAACACCAAAGGGAGAAATTTGTAGAGGAAAGAAAGGATGCCACAATTGAAATATCAAAGGAAAAAATGTCAGAAAACTCTACAGAGACAAAAAGAGAAGATGATGAAAAGCAACAGAAAATGCAAAAAACACTTATAGGTGAAGTGTCTCATGAAAAAGTTAACAAAGCTGAAAATAATTGTCCCGTCAAAGATGATACAACTGGTGAAATCCTTTCCAAAGCCAAATGTGCACCAACACAAGAAGATAACATCTGCCCCTCTTCCTCATCGAGCTTTTTCAGCTTTGGTAGTCCCAGCAATAATCTAGTCTTGAATGAAACAAAACATGTGTCTCAGAACCTTCAATCAAATGAAAAACACAATGCGGAGCATAATAAGGAAGATACTAGTGTACATATTGGCAATATTGCTATCAGAGTTATGCCATCTGGAGGTAAAGAAGATCATGTGGGTATGATGGAAAAGATTAAGATCAAAACCATTTCTTCAAGTAAGGATTCTTCCTATAAACAGTCACAAGTTGCAACATCTAGTGGAGAAAGAAAAGCAAAGATTTCAAATACTGGAAGCTGTTCTGAAAACTCAATTCCGGCAAAGAGTGCGGAGAGAATAGAAGACAATCTGGAAGAAAAATTAGCTGTACAGTACATTCTCTCGAGTGTGAGGAAACTGTCTGACACACTGAAGGCAAGTGATAAACAGAACAAAGAAAATACAACCAAGGAACATATTGAAACTCAAGGCAAAAAGTTTGATTCAAGTGTACAGCTAATAGAAGCAGACTATTTTCAAGTACAAGGGCCAGAAGAGACAAGCGATATGTCTCAAAACAAGATTAGACCTGAAAATGGTTCAAAGGAAAAGGACATTCAGCAGTTATTACCAAGCAAGACAATGATCAGCAATGAACTGCATGAGGATCAAAAAAGTGATGTCTTTGTGTTTACTGTTGATCAGAGTGAAAGAAAAGCAAATCAGTCATTTTTAGCAAAAACTCAAGGGGAAAACTTGACAAGAAAAACAATGGAAAATGAAGTTAATATAGTTGCTTCGAAACAGACTGATGGTTCCACGGAGAGTAGAGGTGATAAAAAGATGGAAGCAGAGCAATCTCTCACTACCACAAAACACAATGAAGAGAATCGGGTTGACTCCTCTGTGAAGGAAAGGCATAATTTAAGTAATAAACATTTAAGAAACACACACTTTGCTAAAGAAAAATCGGAGGTTAAACCAAAACCAAAAGAACGAGTCTGTGCAGTTCCTGAGATATCAGCTATTGCAGACTATGCCAGGTTAAAGGTAATTGTTTCAGAGGATAAAGAAGACCTTCAGAATCAGCAATTACCACCAAACAAAAGGGAAGGGTTCTTCCCACTAATTCAGACCCGTCATAGCAGATGTCCTGTGTTTACTGACGACCCACAGGACCGTTCTATGAAAACCCAAAGCTTGCCAAATAAGACAGAGATAAGTGCCACAGCCAATAAAAAGCCCAAATCTGTAGGATTTCCAATAATGGAGAAGGAACACAAAAAAACTGGCATGTTTAAACTAGGAGATAAAGAAAAGCAAGAAAAACTGAATGCCAAAATTAACATAAGTTCTTTAGACAAAAATAAAAGTGCTGAGAATCAAACTGATATAAACAAGTCAACCTCAGCTAAGACAGAGCTATTGGTACAAGCAGCAGAGAGACATCAAATGAGTGCAAATGAAGAACAGCAACAGAGGAAAGCCACACATGAAGAACAGAGAAGAGTGACGGAGGAGCAGCAAAGGATGTCTGAACAAGAGGAGCAACATAGGAAGATCACAGAAGAAGAGAATATCAGACAAACTGCGGATGAACAACAGGGAAGAGCAGCAGAGGAACAGCAAATGAAGACTGAACGAGAGGAACAACAGAGGAAGCTTGCAGAGATCAAACAACGGAAAAGAGAAGCACAGGAGCAGGAACTGAAGGATGTGCAATTTGAGGAACAGAGGAGTATTGCAGAAGAGCAAAGAAAAGTAGAACGGAGAAGAGCAGCAGAGGAACAGCAAAGGAGGGCTGCACAAGAGGAGCAACAGAGGAGCATTGCAGAGAATGAACGAGAAAGAAGAGCAGAGTGGGAGCAGCAAAAGAGGGCTGCTCAGTTAGAGCAACAGAGGGGAATTGCCGCAGAAGAGCAAAAAAGACAAGCTGCACATGAGGAACAGAGAAGAGCAGCACAGGAGCAGCAAAGGAGGGCTGCACAGTTAAAGGAACAGAGGAGGATTGCAGAAGAAGAGCAACGAAGAAAAGCTGCATATGAGGAACAGAAAAGAGCAGCATGGGAGCAGCAAAGGAGGGCTGCACATTTAGAGGAACAGAGGAGGATTGCAGAAGAAGAGCAACAAAGAAAAGCTGCATATGAGGAAGAGAAAAGAGCAGCATGGGAGCAGCAAAGGGGGGCTGCACAGTTAGAGGAACAGATGATTGCAGAAGAAGAGCAAAGAAGAAAGGCTGCACATGAGGAAAAGAAAAGAGCAGCACAGGAGCAGCAAAGGGGGGCTGCAAAGTTAGAGGAACAGATGATTGCAGAAGAAGAGCAAAGAAGAAAGGCTGCACATGAGGAAAAGAAAAGAGCAGCACAGGAGCAGCAAAGGGGGGCTGCAGAGTTAGAAGAACAGAGGAGGATTGCAGAACAAATGCAAAGAAGAAAAGCTGCATATGAGGAAAACAAAAGAGCAGCACAAGCGCAGCTAAGGAGGGCTGCACAGTTAGAAGAACAGAGGAGGATTGCAGAAGAAGAGCAAAGAAGAAAGGCTGCATATGAGGAACAGAAAAGAGCAGCACAGGAGCAGCAAAGGAGGGCTGCACAGTTAGAGGAACAGATGAGGATTGCAGAAGAGCAAACAAGACAAGCTCCACATAAAGAGCAACAAAGAAGAACACCAGAGGAGCAGCATAAGAAGCTTGGAGAGGAATCACAACAGACAGCAGCAGTACAAGAAGAATTACAGAGAGGAGCAGAAGAGGAGCAAATAAGTCTTGGACAAATAATACAGATGAAGGAAGGTGCATATGAACACCACAAAGGGAAAACTGAACAGGAACACCAAAGAGCAGCAGAAAAGCAGCTAAGCAGAGCATTGCAAAATGAACAACAGAGGAAAGGAATAGAAGAGAAACAAAGGAGAGCTTCACAATTAAAACAGAGCGAAAAAGAACATGAACAGCAATTAAAAACTGCAGAAGAGAGGAGGCAAAGAAGAGAATGGGAGCAACAAGAGGGAGTTGGTCAAAAGGATGGACAAATTACAGTTTTTCCAGAAGAACATAAACACAGGGAATTATATGACCAAAAAACAAAATCCACACACAATGAGCAACAGAGAACAGCCCCTGAAGAGCAACAGAGAAGAGCTGTGCAAGAGGAGAATCAAAAGGAGGACTTAGAGGAGAACTGGAAGAGGGTTGCACAAGAAAAGCAGCAAAGGATACCATATTTGATTGAAGGGAAAATACAAGTTAAACAGGTCAAAGAGCAAACACAAGCACAGGTTGAAATGGAAACAAAGGGAAAACCAAGAGTGGATGTAAATGCTGGTTTGATTTCAGAGAAAGAAAGCATCAAACAGATGCAGGAACATAAAATGCAGTATCGTATTGAAGAGACAAAGAATGAAGGCGAAAAGGAGAAATCTGGAAAGTTGGAAAATGATAATAAAACTGCTGAAAAGGAGAAAATCATGAGAGAAAATAGATTACAAAAACATGTCAAAGAAAGTGTTAAACCACAAGATTTTACACCAACAAAAACAGAATATGACACTGATGTTGAAAAGATGAAAGGTGAGAAGTTAACATCTCCAAAAGACAAAGCCAGAGACCTTCCTATGGAGATGGAAAAAAAAATCTCACAGAACACGGATGCTCTGCAGTATTACGCAATCACCTCAAACAACAGAGAGAAAACACCCAGGGATAGACAGTTGTCCCCCACTTCACCATTACAAAATCAAAATAAAAAACTACAAGAGCCTGAATCATCCAATAACTTGTTGTACCACACTAGACCTCAAAGACCTCAAGCTGCTGCATCCCCAGCTCCATATCTACCTCGTTCCAACACCTCCTCTCCTGCTCTTGGTGCCAAGCCTTTAATGTTTAGAGTAAAGGATAACACCATCCGAGGTTCCTCGTTCACAAAGTCAGTGAAGCCACGTTTCCATAAGAACTTCGGAGAGGATTTCTTAATGGGTTCAACGTTGGATGGAGGATCAGATAAAACAGGGGAAGACCAGGAAATACTTAGACAAAATCGAGGGACCCCAATTAATCGCTTTGCTGCTATCAATGACTCAGCAACTGCTCTGCTGTCTTCATCACAGGATAACTCAAACTCTTTGCATCATCTTAGACCATATTCTAGGAGAAGTATGGCAATGGATGATGATGAATCCCGCTCTGTCATTAGTAATATGTCAGAAGATGTGGAAAGCTTTGCTACCAGTGCAGCTGATCTGACCGACATGCAAGGCCTGTTTGACTTTGACAGACCGGAATCAGCTTGCAGCTTCAGCAGTGATATTTCTCGTTCTATGGGCAAACCTCCAGCTGTTCCACCAAAAAGTGAAAAGGCCTTGCGCAGAGCTCAAAGGTTAACCTCTAGAAGAATAAAGAAAGAACTCTCAAAGGTGGCAGCAGAAACTCCTCTGAGAGTTGGGAAAGACGATTCCAGGTTTCCTTCTTCATCCCAATCATCCAATGAGGTATGCTCCTCCAACTACCATGCTGTGGCTTCTCCCCACTTTACTCCACCTGTTGCTGTTGCTCTTGCCCCAGCTCCAGCTCTTGGGTCTAGCTTGCATTCTTCTCATAAAGATCACAAATCCTCTCATCACTCTTTTCATGCCTCTCCTCATGCCACTGACCCCATATCTATTCCCAGTTCCTTGTCTCATGCTGGCTCTGCAGTATCTCTTAATGCTTCTAGTACTGCTTCCAAACCTGTTGCCCTTCAAACAGTTGCTCATGTGTCTTCTTCTCCAGCTCTCCATCACGTCAATCTCCCGGCCACCTCAGTGACACAATACCATGTTGAGTCAGCCAATTATCCTCAATCCTATCCATTGACGCAGCGCAAGGTTCTACAAGACCCGGGATCGGGTCAGTACTTTGTTGTGGATGTTCCTGTTCAAGTAAAAACAAAGACTTTCTTTGACCCAGAGACAGGAAAATATGTTCAACTGAAAGTACGCCAGACTGGTCTAAACATTTCTCAACCCCAGCTTCAACAAACCTACCAACAGCCTCAAATCCAACCACAAATACATATAAGGCAACAAAAACAGCCCCTATCTATTAACAGTAAGCCATTCAGTCTATATCAAGACAATAATGGCACTTCCCAAAACTACCAGACAGCAGTTGTCAACTCTGTGCTCCCGAGCAACACATCAGTCCTAGCAACTCAACAGGTCTTAAGGCAAAACCACAGCTACGGAAATCCTGAAGTAGATCAGAACTCTGCTGGGCATCGCTACAGTCCAGAGAAGACACCATACATGGACACGGTTAATGACGTCACCAAAACATACAATTTGGCCAACAGCACAGAGGACACATGCAATCCTTCGATCCAGTGCGACAGCCAGCTTGATAAAAGTTCTGTTTGTGAGAACGACCACTCAGCTAATTCAGAATATCAGTCCCGCCACATCATAGCCATAAGTGAGTTAGAAGATTTCATGGAGGTGTCTGACTGGTGACAGCAAAAAATGACATAGATTTTAAAATCTATTTGCCAAAATGATAAATGAAACAATGTATAAATGAAGATACATATTTAGAACAACCTCCTTAGTTGAAACAAATCTTGTTTTTGACTAAAGTTGTCATGGTGACATGCTCTTAAACTGCTGATGATGTCTTTTTCAGAGATTAGATGTTCTATTCTATATTTATTATCCTATATTTATTGTTACCATTCCACTTGACTTTGAATGTCAGAAGCAAACATATGTCTCCTGGAATTACAGAATCATCCATATCTCATTTCCTCATGCGGTAAACATACCTTATATATACAAATTGCAAACCCCCTTTTGTGAAATGCTTTTGTCCTTGTAAGAAAATGCATTTGTACGGCATTATAAACAATGAATGGACTGATTTACTTTCCTGTTGTAAAAGCCTTGTAATGCATGAAATATTAACTCTTTAAAGCCAAACATTTACAAATGGTATACAACAACTTTTTTTGTGCAGCAACAGTGTCAAAATAAACATGGTGACATGCTAGTGATGAGGTGTTGCTGTTTTAAAAGTTATACAGTAGTCTATTTTTGAAAGATGGATGTTTCTAGGAGTGCTTTTGTGTTGCTGTGAATGTAGCATGTCAGGGACTTTTTTAGACAACAAAAACACCTATTTCCCATCATGTGGATGTTGAAATGTTTCTTTTGAGGGTTTAAAATAATAATAAAAGAATCTGGAGGATTTCTGAAATAGATGTATTTTATTTTTACAATTTTGTTTTTTTCATAAGTGAAAGCCTGTATATGTAAAGCTTTTGATGATGGTTTGTAAGTTGTTTAAGTCCTACTTTTTGATGGATGGCTGGCTGGTGGAGGAGTCTGCATGTGTGACAGGAGTCATTGGCTTAATTGGAATACCTTTCATCTTTTGCAGGGTCAACAGTTAGAACTCTATCCAGGGTAGGACAGGAGCTCTTGAACTGCTGTGCTGAATCCATACAAGCTTCAGCCTTACAGAGGTCATTAAGCAGCAGATGTTAACATAACTGACACGGGTCAAAATCGGACTACACCCTTATAAAAAAGAACTACAAAAAGCTACATAAATATAAAAAAAAATGACTGAAATGTCTCGTTATAAAACCCAAAATATATGAAAATTTATGAATTGGCTTGTGTCACACGTATTACATGTGAGAAGATAACGTTTTTGTTAAACTCTTTGAGGTAGGCTATGCTGATGCAATCTGTCTCATAATGGATTGTGTGAATCTGTAAGGTTCTTAGTAGTGAACAGGGACAATAGGAGTTCCCTATGCTGATGTATTCTCGCAAGAAAGCCTAGTGCTTCATCCTGCTTGCTCCTTCCTAGCTGCATGCACTATTTGGATAACACTTATTATTGTGACTGAGGACCCACTCCCACTGTGGCTTAAGTGTCATTGCCAGTCTTGAATTTCATCCATTGTCCACTACAGTTATCCCTACCAGACGATTTGTTGTTTCTTTGTTGACGTGATTCACCACCTTCAGGACAAGTAGTTCCCTTCCCAAACTGAGGGTGGCTGTAGTGATACTCTCAAGTGGAATGTCATAACAAATTTGACATTTTACCAGTTAGTCCAACCATTAACTGACAACTAAACACAGCATTAAATACTCACATCAATGTACTAACATTAAAGAAGAAAAATACAAAATTAATTTCTTTTGTGTTTTATGGGAGAAAAGGGAAAGTTATGTTCTTCTTCAAGTCATGTATAAGTCTTCAGTGTAGATAAAGATACAGGACAACTGCTCAACAACTTTCATTTGTCTATTATGCAGAAACAAATTGTTAAATTAGACAACATATGTGTGTGGTGTGGCTATGGCACTCTGGGAGTAACAATTTGACTGTCAACATTTAGATAGGAATAGATACAAAAAGCCTTTGGCCAGTTACCTAAGTAGGTAGATGCAGCAAAGTAAAACACTACAGAAAAATGAAAGAAACTGTTTACACTTAATAAAACAGTGAGCCTGAAATGTGTTCCATCATTTGTGGATTTAACTGAAGTTATACAATCATATTGCTCATAGGAAAACCTAGTACAGCAGGAAACATCATGGGAGAACTAAAATATCTAAACTCACATGAGAGAAGCAATCTCAGACCAGAACAATAAAGTACATATAGTACTAAACAACCTTCAGACGGAACAGAATAAAATTAGATATTTTTTTAGGGTATTTTATCCTGTTTTTCTTTCTTTACAATTAATACAGTATTTAATTTCCTAACAGAAAAAAACAACTTTAGTCTACTTCAAAAAACAACTAGAGTAACCATACACATAAATAATACTGTATAAACCATATATTGTTATGGTCTTGCTTGCATATTACATATCCTTGTCTTACCAATAAAGGGCCTTTATCTGTTAAGTTTTATAATGGATGTGCTGTTGCTCCCCTGAGAAGTAGTTACCTGCTTTGACCACTGTAGGGCAGAGGAGAGCAGATCCCAAACTTGAGCATAGGATACATGAGAAGGATGTTACATGGGGAATCTTTAATGAAGTATCACTTTAGCACATTTAAACACAACCTTTAATTCGTAACATCTGTGATATTATGACTTAGGTTTAGGATCCATAGTGCACACTCTAGATAGCATCTGTGTGTACATGTCCTAAAATTTAAGTTTAGATGGGATTAAAAACTCTAGGAACAAAGCCAGCACACTTTCCACTGATTCCATGCCTTTCATAAGAATCCTACATACTGTCTGAAGGGTTAAATGTGTTGTGTAATTTCATTTGGCTTTGGCAGAGCTGAAAGCCAGCAGAAACCCTGGCTCAGCAGTTTAGCCTGCCCAATAAAGCAGCAGGCTTCATACCACTGGGACAATCTGACGACCGCAGCCAGAGACAAGCCCATGCCACTCTGTCCAGCAGCCGGAGACACAAAGACGTCCCGCTTCTGTGTGTGCATGAAGAGAAAGCTTCAAGAAAAAAGAGTACATGTTGTGCTTAGACAAACAAAAAAAATCTTTTTGAATATGCAAGAGGGGCAAACCCTGGGATAAGATAAATCCGTCACCTATGTGTTTTTGGGTGTTAGGCCGTGATCCAACACCCACTCTCAGGAACACAGGAAATGACATTTCCTACGTTTAGGAGGACACACAGGGAAAGGCAAAGAGAGGTTGACTGAGACATTTAGAGGGGAGAGCGAGGGAGAGAGTGGGAGTTTCTAAGTGGGAACAGAGCTTTTACTGTTTCATATTACAGAGAAAAGAGGAGAAAGAGGAGAAGAGTTAATGGTGGGTAAGGGCTCTGGTGGGTTGTGCAGCCAGCCTCTGTTTTGAATGTAGCTGCTTGTGAAAGTGCAGGGCAGTTGTCTGGGTTTATGGATTCGCAGACTGTGGAAAATGTACTTCTCTATAGTGGTCCTTGTCCTGACTAAGACTCTAGTCACAGGTAAGTTTATTTTGTCTGCAGCAACAAAGCTCAGCGGGAAAGTAAGGTAGGGGGGGTTAAGAGTAGCATTGGTGCACACTGCAACATACAGTATGGATTCAGTTTTAATCTACATTATGAAAATAGAATTTTTATTTAAAGTGCAAGAGTTAAAATCTGCATTTGCTCTGGTTGTTTTGGTTTTATGCATTTAAAGTGAACCATATGTGCTTGTTTTTTTTTGTGTGCTAGACTTGTTGTTCTCCTGATTTATGACATCTGTTCAAACCAATCATCAAATACTTGTATATTTTACAGTCACATAATGTTTTGAACCATATGATTTGACCCTATTTTTAAGTGACCACATACCTAAAGAGCGAAAAATGTCCTGTATAAAAAAGGGATTCCTGATCAGAAAAAAAATTTTTAGTCGTTTTAAAATGTTTGGTCTCTGTGATCTATCAGAACTTTTGAATCTTACAAACAGTCATAAACTTGACAAAAGATGATTTTTAGTTGCTTCAGCATACATTAACCTTTCTATAAACTTTGTTTCTGGTTATGATGATGTATCATGTGATGCTTGACATAACCAGAGACAGACTCCTAAATGACACAACAAGAACAACAAAAAGCAGCAGCAGATGTTGCCAGTTATCCTGCCTTTGTGGATCGGGTTTTACTGCACTGAGGATGAATGTTTCCCACCTGTAGCATTTCTTTGGTCATCCAATCGCTGATTCAAATTCTGTTTTACACACATATGACCCAACTTCCATCAGAAGAAAGAAAAATTATGTAGAGAGAACCATGATAGTAGTGAGGAGAGTATGATTTGTTGATTTCACTCTTGAGCTCTTTTGCTTTTTAGCGGTACAGACGAAATTCCCATCTGGTGATGGAATGAGACATATAAGCAGAAACAGTCATACTTTATGCTGTCAACAGCATAAATCCTACAACCCACTGCTGGGGTGGGTTTATAACTTAGTTTCTGTAAATGCTACAATAAGATGTAAATGACAGGGAATAAATTGGTTTAAAAACAAACTCAGACACATCCATGTAAGACATATTTTCAACTCCAGTAATTTACTAATTGAAATAAAGCAAGAAGAAGTCACGCAAGCTGAGTCATTCTGTGAACATGAGGCTTATCATGGCAGGGCTTGTTTGGTGGATGGTTTCATTAAACAAGGGACACACACGGAAAAACTTTCCATACTGATTTTATTTTCCTTTCTTTTAAACTTGGATCAAATGTGTCAATTATTTTTATATTTATTTCAATGTAACTACGATGTAATTTTTGTAGGGTTTCTTCTTAGGTGATTGCGCTCAAAAGTACTGATTTTTTTGGAGGCAATTTCCCATTTTTTTTGCATTTCTTAGATTTCTTGAACTCTTCTTACACAGATAAAAATAAAGAATAATGGAGGCAAATTGTTACATAATGGATTAGAAAAGACACAATCCCTAAGGAGGTTGATGAAATTAAAATAATCCCTGGACTTTTTATCAGAGGATGTTTCTGGTATATGGAAGCAGAAATATATTCTGGAGGTAACTAAATAGATGAACACTCTCCATGATCAAAATGCAGAGAAAGACATGAAGAACAGTGTTTTTGACCTAAAACAGTATACAAGGATAAAGGATACAGAATGTTATTATCAATGCTTTAGCTCAGAAAAAGGGTTGGTAATCTTCTTAATGTCATACAAATATGCAACAGAAACAATATATAGATCAATCATTTTAAAACAAAGCCAGTTTCAAATCAAATTTATATGAGCCACATTCAAATGGCTCAATTTTTCTTAACTTCAAGCCTCATGGTGTTAACAGTGAAATAAAAATAACATCAAATAAAATATCTTGAAAAGCATGAAAAAGATTTGAATAAGCCCAATATGGTCTCCTATTGTGAATTTTTCTTTTTCTCAGTACTAGGCCTGACCTCAGCAGGCCAAGGCATCTTTAGCCATATTATTTTACCTAGTGCCAATCTTCCCCCTTACACAGGTCCAGAACTGTAAGTGGGATAAGCACAAAAAGGAAAAAAAAAGAAGTCCTAGTTAAGGGGGGGGGGGGGTACCTCCTCTAAACCAGAAAACTAGCCAACGCATGGTCAAGTGATTCATGAAGCGTTCAATAGTTTCAAACATTTCAGCACTGTCATTCAGTTTGAGTGGCTTCTGATGGAGCAGAATGCATAAAAAAAAAAAAAAAAAAAAAAATTTGCAGACATCTGTATGACAATAGTACAATAAGTAATTAATGAAATCGTTGAACCACTGATTCATATCTGTAACCTCTCTTTCCAAATGGGTACATTTCCAAGCAAAATAAAAGCTGCAAAAATCACAATGGTATATAAAACTGGACATTGAAACCTATTTAGAAGTTATAGACCCATTGCTCTACCTTTACAGTTTTCAAATATTTTAGAAAAAACTTTAATTTGCAGACTGGAAAATTCTATTGATAAACTCAAATTACTTTCTGCAAGTCAACATCAATTTAGATTGCAGAAATCCAGAGCTTTGGCAGTCCTGGACTTATTGGAGAAAATGACCAGCCCTAAAAAAGGAATTTGAAAAAACTGAAAAAAATATATATATTAATCAAGAAATTAAAGCATTATGGTGTTGTGGAGACAATGAAGAGCTATTAAAATAGGCAGAATTTTGTAAAAATTGGTAATTATCAATCTTTGTACTTAGACTTTGCTTGTAGTGTCTCCCAGGGGTCAGTATCAAGACGGATCCTTTTAATTCTCCACATGAAGTACATTTTTATGGTTGTTTTGTTTTTTATAGATGATATCAATATTTTTGGAACAGGTGAGAGCTTATCGCACCAGAATAAAGTTAATTAAAACTGATTTGACAAAAAAAAAAAATTGTCCTTGAATCTAGAAAAGAATAAATTTAGTTTATTTTGAAATTTTTACTAAAATATAGATGTGAAACTAAGAAAAGATCAGCTAGAGGCGAATGGAGTAAATTAAATATGTTATCTATGTCATTTTCTAGGTGTGATTATTGATTGCAAGATCTGATGAAAGCCATGCATTAAATATGTTCAGACTAAATTATCTAAAAGTGTTGCAATTTGTAGTAAGGGAAAACTTTTCTGAAACCCATACACCAGGTATGGTAAATTCAGTGTAGAAGTGCAGGGTAACACCTACAGAACCTCACTCAAACTGCTATGCATGCTGCAGACATGAGTCATCAAGATAATTCGTAAGGCTGTCTATCAAG